GAAGAGAAACATGAAGTGTCCGTGGGCTTTGTTTCTTTTCACTTTCTGAACTGTAACCATGCCTCAAAAGATGAAATGTTTCAGAGATTCTTTTAAATGTATTTTCTGGCTTTTATAAGCTTTAAAGATTTATAAGAAAATATTTTTATAAACAAATTACATTTGTTTAATTTATTTATGCTGTTTCAAAGCATTTTGATTTACATTCAAGGTACTTTCTTGACAAAAAATTGCTGTAAGGTAGGACTAGAGAGTAACGCACAATACTGTAAGCCTTGAGTCCTGAAGATATAAACTGGAGAGTGCAGCAGCTGTGCACAAAGACAGGTTTTAAAAGGAGAGGGCATGCAGGCCTTTGGGAGCCGTTGTTAGAGGGAATTAATTGATCGTATTCATTCCTCTATGTCACTAAAATTTGAAATCGGTGGTAAAAATCTGCCTATTCTCAGCTAGGGGTAAGAGATGATGATCAGTGCCTTTGAAAGTGATATGTTGAGGACAGGCTTGCCAGATTCCCAGGGAGCTGGTGTACAGTTTGCCGTCGCATAAATCAAACGAGCTCAGTCCTGTGGTAGAGCTGCTGCAGAGTCGGTGTGGATGCTGTGGAGTGGAAACGTGGCCACTGCATCGGTCAGCAGTGACTTCCTCCTGACTGCCTTGGTGTGCAGCGAGCTCACTGTGTGCCTGCAGAGAGGGCACCTGGGTGCTGGTGGATGTATACAGTACATCATTACTGAAAAATTATTAAAATACCTTTGAAAAGTACGTGATTTCCTTTTCTATTCTGTGTTTCTTACCTTGTCATTAAGCGTTGCATCTGCAGCTTGCTGCTCCAGAGGGGGCTGTGGACCTTTTGTTACTGCATGTTTCAGAAAAAAACTGACTCAATAGCAGCTTGTGAGTGACTGGAGGGGCCATGGGTGCGTACAAAGTGTCTGTATGACACCAGGAGTGAGGTGTCCAGAAGAGGACAATGTGACCCAGTGCTTCTGTGAGTGCTGAAGCCAATTCCTCTGTCCCTTTCCTTCTCCCTTCCCAGTGATACCCCTGCGGTTGGTGGATCTCCTCTGCTGTGATCCTCTGTCCAGCCTGGCGCGTTCCCGCAGTTTGTTTCAAGTACAGCAAACTCGATCAAACTAAATAAAAGCACATTGGTTTCACTGCCCAGACTAAAAGTCTTCCAGTTTCACCTCTGGCTAAGAACAAAGAATACAAGAATATATTGGAGATTTGTAGTTGAAGGTGGATGCATCTTCCAGTCCTAACCAGATCATCTCTGCTGGACTAATGACATGTGAGGCACTGCAGTTCTGTATCTGTTCTGGAATAATGGGCCACTTAAATCCCATCTCTTCCATAGCTAGAAATTTTGATTTTTTTTTTTCCTGACTTTGAGGAAAAACTTCTCATCTGCATAATCTGGGGAAATTAAATTCACAGATGTTTTAAAGTTTGCTTTTACTTTGTAGCTTTGTTCCACTGTTTCTGAAGATGCCAGTGAAACTTGTTAATAAAGATGGGTTGAGAATTGCTTATCAGTACTTTAGGTGAAATTGCAAAATCAAAATTAGATGTGAAGGTGAATGGTACCAGGTGATGCTACGGATCCCAGAGTGACTGTAGGGGCTGTGTGCTCCTGAGCAGGCCAGGGGGGTCAGACAAGTGTTATCTCCGAAAAGAAAAGGAAAATGGCGGAAATTGGACTTTTGTAGGTAAAGGTTTGTCCTGGTTTAAGTTCCTGAGCAGGATCAATATGAAGTGGGACAGGTCCCAGGGTGAGGGTGAGCCAAGGGTGGGTGTCACAAGGTCTGGGCAGCTCTCCCTTTGGTGCCCACAGGACACGGCTGTGTCATGGTGGAACCAACCATGCAGGATGGTCATCTCACCTGCACTCATGAGTGCAACTTGGTGTTTCCCAACACTTCCCGAAGAGGCAAACAGTGGTGCTCCAGAATTCACTTCTGTAACTCCCATGCCCAGAAAGAGGGGGTGTAGGGCAAAGTTTTGGGTCCGACAAGCTGCGTACAATGGGATCGTGCTCCCACGAGGAAATAGCTGAGGAATGAGTGCCAGTCCTGCGCCTGGCATGCCTTGGTGCTGTCCACTGCAGCATCCATAGGTCTTTTATCGAAATGCCCCCGCCACATTTCATCTTTGTTACACTGGTCCCAAATGTCAACAATTCTTTATTTGTTCAGTTTTGTTGTCTTCTGAGTGTTCTCAGTGCAGTTTCAGATGATAAACGCTGTTCTGAGAGAGAGGGTGTTCACATTATTTCTGATAAAATGGGAAAGGGATTTCTGTCACTGGGTGAGCTCCGTGAGTCCCCCGTGGGAAAGCAGAGCATCTCCTGCACCGGAGAATGGGAATTTGCAGGCAGCAATATTGTCTGATGCTCCTGAATCCCCACCATGGGATAATGCTGTTTATTTAGCATTTTACCCAACGTACACATTGCAGCAGTCAGCAGTACACTTTCAATTTGTTGTTTGGATGCAAGTTGTGTTTTTCCTGAAAACAAGAGTTTGCACTATTTCTGTATTTATTACTTAATCTTAAAATGTTCATACATAGTAAATAAACTAACAACTGCACTGCTTTGAAAAAAATGACATATTTATTCGTCCAACTTGCCTCGGAGCCAGCAATGTAAGAATTAGTTTAGTTTGAACCTTAGATGAGGTGTTTTGATTCAAGTATGGGGTTTGCTGCCTTGGATTATAAATTCTCAACATAATCTGTGCTTTTCCTGAACTCCTGAGTTCTGACCATTATTGATGTCACCTTATGTATTTGGCTTAAATGGAAGAATTGTGTAAACATAAATCCAGTTTTATATCACTGTCTGGTTATGTTTTTACAATGCATGTGTTTCTTTAAAGACCATACAGGCGCATTGCACATTTATCCAGCTGAAGGGAACAGTTGGTTTGAGCCCTTTGGTAACGAATTACGGATATTTGTCAGCTTTGAACTAAGGGAAAAGAATAAACAAGGGTGATGAATACAGCCGTGTTCCAAGGTGTTTTTTTCCTCTTATCACAGAGCCCTAAGATCGCGCAGCCCCCCTCCATTACCGCTTCCCCGCCTCCCTGTCCCCACGGCCTAAGCTCCTTCGGCCCCGCCTCCCGGCGCTCCCGGCCCCTCCCCGGCGCTCCAGGTCGGTGGGCGGCGCTGCGGGCCCGGCGTTACGCGGCCATGGCGGAGGGGCGTAGTGGGGCGGGTGAGGGTCTGTGCCGC